ATACTATAAATTTGCATATCATAAAATAAATATAAAATATATGAAATATATTATAGAATATATTACAAATTTGTAAATATATATTATAAATTTGATATAATCATAGTTTCATTTACAAGTTAATATCGCATAATTACGTTGCTTTTTAAGTTGCGTTTTAACCAAAATGTCGACGCGTGTTCGTTGAGATAAGTATACAAGAAATGTCCATAAGCCTATTATTAAAATGGCTGGAGTATAGTTAAAAATCCTCAATATAGCGGATTGAAAATCGCTGTATTGAAAGTTTCTCACAAAAGAGCTAAGAACTCGGTATCACTGCCCCATAGTAGCGCTGTGTCCCATCAGGATCGAAGATCTTCATCTACCTAGCTATAATAGACACCTCATGCCTGTGTATTCTTCACCGACCACGTCCCCCGCAGGATATTCTAACGCAAGCTTTCGTTTTCCAGCCATTACATGCGACAGATCCTGGAGGCGTTGCGCTACTGCCACGAGAACGACATAATTCATCGTGATCTAAAGCCGCAGTGCGCCCTCCTGGCGGGCAAGGAGAATTCTGCGCCGGTGAAGCTACGCGGCTTCAGCGTCGCCGTGCAACTCCAGTCATCCCAGGCAAACGGCGTCGGTATGTTTAACACTTTTTCACCTACCACCGGTCACGTTCTATCTGCGTGCATAGCCGTTCCACGGAACGTACTCTTTCCTGCGCATTCTCGAGGGAACACCGCCACGGCGTTAGCTCTCTTCAGCCAACACTTTCGCGTTCGTTTTCACCCGTCCTTTCCACGTTTGAACACGCGAGTATGTACCAGTACAACGATAGTCCACGATGATCGTTACCGCTCAACCGTACCGACCGCTTTTTCCACTGAAAAATTCTAATTTATAGTTCTACCCATCGGACAGCCTAGGGAATTCGTGGCGCTCGCGTCGCGCGCTGTTGCCACCGATCCGTGTCGCGTTCTATGATTTCTCTGCGTTTTCCGTTCTATAGGTTAGGCAACTTCTACGGTCTTTGTTATTTTCGTTGGAATTTTGTTGCAAAGCTAAGTACGTCGAAGAGCGCGTGGCATCTCAGGATTTTTGGGATCCGGGGGTTAGACGAGGGGAGTTTCCTGTGATAGCTTTAATTATTTTGGGGATGCTAGGTAGGTGGGGTAATACGATTCTTCTTGTGGCAAATTGCAATGAAAATGTATTATACTAACAGGTACAACGTAATAACCATGAGGTTATTAGTATTAACATATAGCAAGGAACAGGTTAGAAGGTAATTAAAAATGACTAAACAGAGGAATGGGTTGAGCATATTACGTCATTGTACATATAAAGCTGGGCTATTTGTCGATTTAACTCTGGTGGTTTTTAATGTTGATTTTTTAAGATTTTTAATACCTGTTTTGTGTTTTGAACGCTTCTCGATTGGTTTGGTAATTTTGCTGAATTGTTAATGACTGGAAGCAATGGTTACATAATGTCACATGTGTTGGGAAGACACAAGGGAATGTTGCTTTCGATATTTGGCAAAATAAGCAATTTGGTTGAGAGATTTTAGGGTAATAGGAGTTGAAGAGGAGGTGTAGGTTCGTATTAACGATGTGTTTTAATTAATTTTCGAGTGACAATTTTGGAGATTGTTTTAGAGATGTTAGGCAATTAGGATAATAGGGTTTTTGGATTGGTTTGGTACCTTTACTGAATCGATAATAATTGCTAGCAATACTGACACAATGCTACATCTCCATCGAAGGTGTGACTTCGTTTAAGTGAACAATGCTTTTGGTTATTTTCTACGTGATAATTACTAACTTGGTTGAGAAATATAGGGTGCAATAGGGGTTGGAGAGGGAGTGTAGGTACGTATTAACGCTGTGTTTAATGTGTAACGAGTATAGACAGGGAAAGGAAGCCAATCATTTTGTCCTTATAGGTTTCGTAATTAATATGCAAATTAATAAATAAGAACTGATTGTCAGTGATATATTTGAACTATTTATGACATTCTTATGAATGATTTGACACATTAATTGAGTACTTGGAGATAATAAAGGTATATTTTTGGTCTCGTCAATTTCTATGCAGGAAAGGATATAAATATATTTGGGTATTTTTATACAGATATCTTTAACTGTACCCGTTAGACTCGTATTCTTATAAATTCTGAATGAGTTGTGCTTCCTGCCAGTTATTGATCTTTTCTTATAACAGGGTAAATAATCTTTTACGATATTTCTTTTTTGTACGGTCATAAAATTATTCAATGAAAGTCAGAAAATGATGAGAATAATATAGATGACATTGTTTCCTTATCCACTTCCTATTTGTTATTATTTAAACGAGTTCAAAGTAAATTCGATAACAAATGTTACTGTATTACAATGTTACTATTAAATCAAAGAAAGTGATATTTAATTTTCACGATATTAACATTTCATTTGCAAAAATCTACAAATTGCAACTAGCATACAAAGTATTAATTGCCAAAGCAGGAAATCTATGTTACACGTTAATATTGTAATATTTAGAAATAAGATGCGAAACAGAAGAGAAACGAATCCTAAAGACAATATTATCTTCTCGCAAAGGAAGACATAGAATCTCCTGGTTGATCAAACGAAGCAATTAAACGCTATTGCCATTGTGCAACGCGTCAGCCTCGAGCTACCAATTAAAACAATCAAAATTTCGCGGGTCGGTTGATCGAGTTATTTCCAAGTCGACTATTGCCGGGCGTCGGATTAATTTTAGACGAATATAGCGCGGTTTCCTTTGCCTAGGACCACCACAAAGGGTCTCGTTATCAAACCAGTTACGCATGTAAATTAGCGTGCCACGATGGCGGAAAGGTTTCGCTATAGACGTTCGCGATGTGTGAATGACAATAAATTACCGACTCCTCTGTGCACAAAGCGAGCGAACTCGCTTATTTACGTAAGTGTGGCAAAGGTGAAAGGGCAGTCGAACGTTTCTTACGTTTCCTGTTAGTTCCAGAAGAGAGCTAGCATCGTTCGGACCTAAAATGGCGGCCAAGTTGCTCCTGGCGCTCGCCATTGATTCACGTGAATCGTGTTCGATATGGAAACACACGTGTATACGCTTTTATATCTTTTGCGAACATTGGAGAGGCAGCATTCCATATTAATTTGCATATTATTATCCTAATTATAATTTTCATTTATTTATTTATTTATTCTCTCCGATATCATCTTCGATATAATTCGGGACGCAGTTAATAACGGGGTAGCTTTTGTCGGTTAAATAGTAAATCTGATTCGATCTTGATAGAATATTTACTGGTTGTACGATATAATAGCAGAACGTTGCACTAGCGGGTGAACCATAGTTTGCGGTAATAAATTGCTGTTGCGTTTCATTATGATACCGCATATCGCAGCAGTGATATCAGAGCAGGTTCGAAATCGTGGAAACGGATATACATTTATTTCCAAGGCGTTAAACTCGTTCCCTCGGTTGGCAGCTTTTGAAACCGTAATCGAAGGATTATCTCGTGATCGAGGATCTACGGAGTTTACGGTTTACGACGCCACCGGTAGCCGTGGAAATCGAACGCTTTCAGCGTGCTCATTTAAGGCTACAATAATTAAAAAACGAATTCTAATGGGAGTTGGAGACTCGTGAACTTTCTTAATAGAAAACTTTCCCCGGGTTTCCGATAAATGACCGACTTTCAGCGTTTTTTTCACTCAGTCAGAGATATTCGTCAGGGACCAGTTCTCGATGAAAGATAATTATACCTCACCTTTCCTTAAAGAGGAAAAAACAGAAGCAGAAAAATGGAAACAATTAAAAGAAAAATAAAGGAACATCGTATCATTTAGAAACGCTGGAATGACTTGGAAAAAGTCTGGAATCGGTATTTTCACGTGTTACTAGTCTATCCTTGCTTTTGGATCATCCATTTTGGTGAACGGAGTTAATTTTGCGTCACTGTGCCTTAAAAAAGAAAAACAGATGAAAGGAAAGAAAGAATCTACGATTTAGGGATTCTCGAATGATCAATTCATTTCAATTCCAAGCGGCGAATCGGTATTTTCGCGCGTTTTTCGTGTAACCGTGCTTCCGGGTCGAGCATCAGTTTCCGTGGATCTCTTTATATTTTACGGGGATATTTACATCGGACGTTACGAAGCTCGCTAATTTTTCACGAACCGCTAAAAGGAACGGTGTTTGAACGCGTGCAGGCTTGGAATGCATTATTTACGAGAACGACCTTAACGAATGTCGTTGAGCTACGCGACCTCCTTTTCAGTAGACAGCATCGTAGGAGCTGCCTTAAAAGATTCAGAGGCAAGGAGATGAGCTTACCCCGAGGGTTAGGACATTATTGCTGCCTACAGGGTGACATATTTGTAGACAAAGCTGATTAACGTCTTTGCAAATGAAAAGCGCCACTTAATTACCAGAAGAGACGATTCTCTGGCGGGTGAATCGACGAGAAAAGAAGGGACCTTCGTTTCTTGGTTGTTTGGCTGTCGCAAAGAGTCGGATCGATTAGAAGACCACTCGCGTAAATTTAGGATTGAATGCTGCCTCTTCAGAGTGTCCATTCATGATATATATCTGTATACACTGTCGATTGGATTATCGGAAGTATCTAGACACTTGATCATCTTCGATCGGTTAATGTGATTTAACGAATGACGTCCATTTTGTTGTAGTGCAAATTTTACAGGTGTTTTTATAATTATCGATAGAAAGTTGATTAATGAAAAATGGTAACTCATTTGGTAACATTTAGTGATGAAATTGGTGTCAATTTAAATATTTGTCTACTTATTTTCTTTGATTTTTTTGTATTTAGATTTTTATATTCGATATTGTGAAAGAGACATTGAAAACTCTCTAAATTCGCAGATAGATTTTGTTGTATTACAAATTTTACAGATGTTTTTATAATTATCGATGGAAAGTTGATTAATGAGAAATGGTTACATATTTGGTAACATTTAGTGATAAAATTGGTGTCAATTTAAATATTTGTCTACTTATTTTCTTTGATTTTTTGTATTTAGATCTTTTAATTGGAAATTGTGAAAGAGACATTGAAAGCTCTCTAAATTCGCAGATAGATTTTATTTAGAACAATGGTATGTAAAAACATTGGTTACATGAACGAATCGTGTATTTGATTGTAACATAACAAAAGTAAAGTACTGTTAATATTGTTATAGTTGTTATTGGAAATACAACATACCCGATCGATTTCGATTATCTTCAGATATATTGTCGAGGTCAACGTTCTGAGCAATTTCGCTGTTCAGGCTTACTTTAGAAGACGTATACAAAGGTATTTTTAGAGCTACGTGTTTAATACTGTGTTCCTTTTTGGATTAGGTTTGGATTGGACTTGAATTATATTTGAATTTGGCAATGGACACGAAAGTAATCACAATTTATATTTAACTTTGTCATACAATATTATCAATATTGTATATTATAGTTTATTTTGTACCCTTTTCATACTAGCCTAATTCTATCCTATCTCAGTACTTAAACAAATACAGCACGTTAATTATTACTGAAAATTCTTTTATTTAATATATAAACATATTTCAAATAATTTTATAAATTAAAGACGTACGATAATTATATCTATGATATCGA